AAGATGTGCGGCCAGCGGGCGAAGGGAGGCGATCCCTGTTCCTCTGCTCTGCGCTGGTGAGGCCTCACCTGGAGAGCTGCATCTGGGTGTGGAGTCCTCAGTGCAGGGAGACGTGGAGCTGTGGGAGCACATCCAGAGCACAGCCACAGATACGAACCGAGGGACGGAACACCTCTCCTATAAGGAGAGAGAGCTGGGCTGCTCAGCATGGAGACCTGAAGGCTCCAAGGTGACCTGGTAACAGCCTTTCAATACCTAAAGGAAAGAACAAGGGAAAAATGAGGCTAGATACATGGAAAATGTCTTCCAAGTGAGGGTGGTGATGCAGTGGAACAGGTTGCCGGAGACGTGGTGGATGCGCTGCCCCTTTCAGTGTGAGACTGGGTCAGGCTCTGAGCAACCTGCTCCAGCTGTGGATGCTCACTGTGGGAAGTTGGACCGCATCGCAAACCTACCTGCACACAAGCAGTGCACCAACGTGGGGCTCATGGTGTTCATTACCTGCTGCACAGATCTCACACCGCTGATCGGAGGAGCCCAGGCAATCCTTAGACCCCATCAGGCTGCAAAATGAAATCAGAAGAGATGCAGAACATAACTTAATACATGATAGTGATGCACAGAATGCCCCTAAAAAACTCTACATGGGTGCAGTTAACACATGGCACTATGCATTACAGACATGAAGTGGGATGATGTGGGAGCAGACAAGCCACATTTGGAGACCCAGACTGGAGATTATGAGGTAAGAAGCACTGAAGAGGAAACAATGCATATAGCAGAAACAGCTGCTCTAATCCAGCTTGAGATCCCCAGAAAGGCAGAGCTCACAGCTCTGAAATAAAGCAGGAATTGCTCCCCACACTCTCAGTGCTCACCCCACACCCCAACGGAAGCAGCCCCCAGGTTCAGATGCTGCCCTTAAATGAGGTTAGGATCCCCCAGAAGGGAAGAACACAACCCTGAAATAAAAATGGAACCACTTACCCCATTCCAGGGACCAACGCTCACCCACACTCTAAGGGAAGCAGCTTCCAGGTACAGATGGCTGACAGCCCTTAAATGCAGTCAGGGTCCCCTAAAAAAAAAGGAGAGATCACAGCCCTGCCATAGAAAAGGGATCACCCATCCCAAAGAGCAGGGCTCACCCCACCCTAAAGGAAGCACTCCCCAGGTTCAGATGCTGCCCCTGCGCTTCCCAGCCCTTAAATGGGGTCAGGGAGGGGTGGAGCCCGGCTCAGCCCCACCCACAGCCGAACTGCCCCCAGCTGTGCTTGTAGGGCTGCACCCCTCCCAGGTGCTCCATCACAGCTTCCAGCTCTGTCCTCACAGTGCCTGTATGGCCATAGAGCAAAGATAACGGGGAAAACGAATGCCTGCCAAGGGAGGTCTATGGCTGGATGACCTGCCATAGCCCACATAGTTTGGTCCCAGTCTGTCCTCGATGCCCGTTGGTGACTCTTCTAACAGACTGGGAAGCACAGATCTCAGTGCTGGTGCAGCAGATGCTGAGATCTGTGTGAGCAGCCCGGGCAGCAAAGGGCTGAAATCACTGCTGGCAATGCAGAGTGCTGTTTGCACACCCACAGCTCCCAGGGACACTCAGCTGTCAATTCACAGCCCTGAGAATGGGAGCTGCTGAGTCACGGCCTGAACCACTGATTGATCACCTGAGGCAAGGACTGACTCAGCTGTGGGAGCACAGGTGAAGGCATTCAGCTGTGAATGGAAGGGTGGAGCCTGGCTGCAGCTCTCCTAGACCCCATTTAAGGGCTGGCTGCCACTGGGGAAGGTTCTCTGCTGTGATTCTGTGGTTTTTGTTGTCAGTGTTCTACATCAGAACATCATGTAAAGTGAGTTAAAGAGTTTGAGTTCTGGTCCTTGTCCTGCCTTTATGGGCATTTTGGGTTCTCAGGTAGGAGAGGAGCAGCAGCATTCCTGGAGTACAGAGGAGGGAAGGTGGAGCTCCTGGCTGGATGGAAGCAGAGGTACGTGCTTCTCCTGTGTAAGAGCTTGTATTTGATGTTCTGCTTCTCTCTCATTTTCTTTGGGTTGGGAGGATGTAGTAAATTACTGCTCCTCTTCAGATCACTGCTGTTGGTTGTTTTTTTGTTGTTGTTAGACCCATCTGCTATCTCCCTGTTCTCTCTTCCCCTCCCCTGGAGTGTATGGCTGTGCCTTGTCTCATTATTCATGGGGCTGGCTGTGCTGTTAATATAAAGGATGGTTTTCTCCTTCTCTCTTTTGTTTCCTGGGTTTGTGCCCCTGTCACGGACTCGGATCCAGAGGTAACTGTGACAATCTCTTTCTGGAGATCCCTCCCTTGGGAGATTTCTACTGCAAGCCTAGGATGTGGGTGGGCATTTCATTTATTTTTGATTGTCAATTACTTACTATTGCAGAAATCTTTCTAACTATAAGACCTGTAAAATACTGTTCTAACCACGCCACTCTGCAAACTGTACGTTTGTTAATTGGGCACCCTGCAACTGGGGTCTGGGCACAGCGGGTGCACCTCACCCATCAGAACCCCTCAGGGCTGCCTCTGTAGGGAGCACTGAAGGCTACGAAAGCCATTTATAGGCCCATGAAGCCTACTGCTGCTTCCATGGCTCAAATTACCACCTCGAGAACCAATCAATGTAATGAATTCACTTCCCTAATGATATGTGCAGTGCTTCCATCTCTTTCTCTGACACTTCCACCAACAGCTCTGCTTTGGGACCCACCTGACAGAAATAAGAAGCTCACAGCCAAAGATGCTCTTTGCCTTCAGAGATGAATCCCACTTCCTCCATAAGGTTGGATAACCTGGAATGGAAAGCAGCACCTAAAGAAGGGTGAGGAACAATGGGAATAAGAGAACACAGCCAGGAAAGCACGCAGGGAAAGCGGTGGGAGGCTGGGAAGGGGAGGAGGGGAGACCAGGAACTCCACAAGGAGAGAGCGGTGCGGCTTAAAGGAGGTGGGGGCTGGGGGCCCCTCCAGAGCCCCCTGGTCCCCCTGAGAGCCCAAAAGTGCCCCTCAGGGACCCACAGGTCCTCCCAGTGTCTCCCAGTGCCCCTCAGAGCCCCCCACAGCCCCTCTGTCATAGTTTTATAGTTTTGCTATCGGTATTCCACATCATAAGATCCTGTAGAGTACAGATAATTGAAGAGTTGATAACCCAGTTCCATGGACTGACAGCTTTCTGTAAGCCTGGTCCTCAGTAGACCAGACCTGCAGATCCCGAAGGACTCCATGGTCAGAGAGAAAGAACCCCATATAACCCAGTTCAAAGTAGGCCTTTTGGTTTTCAGACACTGTCCCTCTTATTTTCTCAAAAAAAAAAAACCGACATTTTCTCCCAGAAATGCCAGTTTTCTCTGCATAAATATGACTTTTTCTCAAAGAAATACCAGTTTTTCCCTGAAAATGAGACATTTTCACCCAGAAACACCTGTTTCTCCCCCGAAATACATTTTCTCCCAGAAATACCTGTTTTCTCATAGAAATATGACTTATTCAAATGAAATCCTCGACCCCAACGTTTGTCCCCTCGCTCCGCACCCTCCGCTTTCATTCCTCAAGTCTGAGCTCTTAAGGCCGCCGCCCTCGGGTGCAGTTCCGCACTTTGGCCACGAGGTGGCAGCAGACGACCGAGGAAATGGGGGCGCGGGGCCCGAAGCGAGGCGAAGTCTCTTATGGGAAATGAGGGCAAATAAGGGGGGAGTGTGAAATGTGGAGAACCCCGAAATACTGGGGGAATCCCCGAGACCCGTGTCATCTTTTTCCCAGTGCAGTGGCGTGGCTCCGATGGAGGAATCTGGGACAAAAGAAGGCGTTTTGCAATGCGGGAGCGTGGTGGGATTTTCGGGTGCCACCTTGGGGAGGATTTAGGGGGAAAAAGGGGGGAAACTGGAGGGTGAAGGGTTTCAAAGTTTGGTGTGGTGCAAAGCTGGGGAGGAACATTTGGGGGTAAAATTGGGGGATTTGTTTTCTGGGGGGCAAAAAGGGGGAGATTTGGGGCATGGGAGGCTTCACATTTTGGAGCACTGAAGGGATGAAATCATGGGCCCGTGTTTTGGGGTCAAATAAAGGGATTTGGGGTGCCGATGGGGGAGGGGGGGCTGATGGGGGAGGGAGGGCACTTCCGGGGTTGCCTCTGGGCCCCTCCCTGCCCCACAAGGGCAAAGGGCAGCGGTGCTGCACAACAGCGCAGGAACCCCCAAAAATCCCTTTCTTCACCCTGAAGTTTCACCTCCTCGTTAATTAGTAATTAATTGCCTGTCCCCCACACCGATTAATCGACACCCCCCTCTCCCCCCTCCCCAAATAAACAGCCATGGTGCCCATTGAATGGGTGCGGGCGCTGAGTGTGGTGCAGTGGATGTGGACCTTCCTCTTCCTTGGTCAGCACGTGGGGGGGGGAAGCGG